TATTTTTTAAGGGCCTCTATGGCAATCATTCCTTCGTCTTGGATCAGAACAAACATAAGTGGCCCTTTTGTTTTTTTAAGTGTGTGATATTGTCTGATTTATTTATCAACTGCTTGTCCATAGGAAACAAAGGGATATATTTGGAAATAAACCATTTTTTGTAACCAGTCTTGAAAGTTTGCTTCCTTGCTTCTTTGACCAACTCCTACTTTGTAAATAATGTCAGAAAATTACCTACATACCACTGTTAGAAATTCATTCATTTAATTCTCCTTTCTCTGCAGAGATGATCTTCCATTGAACTATTTGCGACTCAATGTATTTATGTTACACCCTTTGTCCATTAGTAAAAGATTGTTCTTTAAAACTACATTATTTCATTCTAATTCAGAAAGTGATAGCATATTTTCTTAGATGTCTTCACCACTCTCTTAATCATTCATCACGTTGTTGAACGCTGTTTTGCCATCAGCTGCAGATTTATGTTTTCTATTCTGAGCAGATTTGCACACCTGGATTTGGCAGTTTATTTCTTTCAGTCTGGCAGAGCCTTTTGAGCTTTGTCAAACTGAAGAGATGGGCCACTCAAAAACTGCCAGATGATTATTTTCTTTAAGTGCCTCTCAGTATATGTGTGCATTCATCCCTGTCAACCCTGAAAAATACGAGTGTGTCTGAGACTCGCTCTAGCACCACCATCCTGCACTTTAGGGTTGTTTTGGCGAAGTGCTGGGCACTTGTCAGACCAACAGTAATGTGCAAAAGTCTTCAACCAGCTGTCCTTTCCATGGATTTTGCTTCAGATAACATTTAAACATTTCGGACAGTGGTTATTTATGCATTCGGAAACTCTGTAACAGCACCTAAAAAGACCGAATCTATCTCTGTGTGTCTGAATCATACTAACAACACAGAAGCCTCTGAAATGCAGTCAGAGGTATCGGTTTGTAGGTGTGGTGTGGGAGGGTGTGCAGGCACCACACACCTCTTGCTAATGATGCTGTTGTCTGTCAGCTTGAGCTCCTGTGTAAGCACACACCAATGTGTGGCTGGCGGAGTCCGATCTGAGTGAGTTAGCTACTGCAGTGGCAGTTTTATAGGTACACCATGTCATCACAATCAGTTTGAAAAGGCGTTTAGTTTGACTTTGTAATTTTTTTTTTTCACCCACTATCAATTTACTATCAGCTTGTCCATAAATATCTTAGAGGATTTTATTTCTTTGTCTCTGAATCATTAAAGTCACAGAAATGCAAGAAACAGGGTCAGCGTTGGATTTATGTGTGTGTTGTCCTTGGAGCTCTGTTGTCTACTGGTTGTGACTAATCAGAACAGACAGACTTTTTCTTCTTGCTTTAAGTCCTTTTCTGGTTGGTTGCTCAGTCGAGCCATACATTTAAATCTCCAATGAATGCAGGTGCCTCTACACTTTTTCCAATTAACAATTATTGAGGCCACTGAGCCCCAGGGATTGCCAGAAGCTTTTTAAATTCTCTTTTGCTCTTGTCAGGGTCTATACTTTACCACCGTTTTATCAGTCGGGTCTGCTGGGACTTTCTTGGGCTTTATAGCTTACTTTCTATCCTTAAATGCATTGATTTATTGGGTCTTACAAACACAAGTGTGTGTTCCCCCAAAATTCCATACAAGTTCATATAGAAATAGATTTTAAAGCAAAAACTATGTAACTGACCAACACTTTAGGCTAACAATGTCATAATCTTCTGAATATTATTTTTTTCTGAATATTATTTTTGAGCCGCTACTTTTTTTCCCCACACTTTGAACCATGCGGCTAATAGCCCGGTGCGACTTTTCTGTGGATTTTTCTTCAACCACCAGGGGGCTCTTTAGCAGGAAGTGAATCATTGGAAGTCAAACTTGGAAATCAAAGAAGAAAATGTTGATTTAGAACAAGCACATGCTAGCAGCAGGCACGACGGAGAAATGTTTTCAAACTCATACCAGCTCATCATGGAACCCACACGAAGAAGTTCATATGATTTTAAGTTGAAGACTATCAAGCTGGGAGTACAGAGTGACAGCCGCTGCATGTAAGCTCAGCGTGAACGAATCCATGGTTGGGCGGAGGTGACGCAAGGCTGCCTCTTTAATAGCAGATTTGTTAAGGACGCAGACCTCCGCTGCGTCCTTGTGGAAAACCGAGAATGGCAGAGATACCAGCGGCTTATATCTGTAAGTTTCCAGTAAAAAAAAAAAAAAGACTTTGTGGGTGTGGCTTATAGTGAGGTGCGCTCTTGTGCCATCCCTGGACACGTTTTATACAAGCAGCAAAATCACAAAAGCTTTTATTTTGTTTGTGTGTTCAGGGGGGAAAAGTGGTACTAGCCTACACCAGTCCCTAAAGATCATGGCCTTGTGCATTGTTCTTTCAGTCTGCTGTCTGAACAATGGTTAACTGTTTGACCCTGTTTGTCTCAAGGCAGCAAGATGTGTTTGTGTTCAGACAACAAAGCGGCATGATCTGCATGAATGCTCGGATTAAAAACAATGGAAATGTGTTGTTTATCTGAGATGAAATGAAACTGAATGGCTTGTCAAACTTTTAACAAAAGTAAAATTGTTTTTGTTCATTCAAAATGTTATGCCAGCTGCAAGAAAGAAAAAAAAAACTTCCTGTTTATCATAGCATCTCTGATTTTCAGCTCTTCTCTTTCTTTTACTAAACAGACCTCATTACTGCAGATGAGGCCCCAATCTGTCTATCCAATTCAGTTCTGAAATTTCACTTGGAAGGATGTTTCACTAAAGTAAAAAATTCTGGTCAGATGTTTACAAGCACTCCATATTATTTTGGACTTTTAATAATGCATTCAAGCTCTGACTTTCATAGTGTGATGTTGTTGTCCCAACAACCTCAGAGGCTTTCTGACATTTTTGTGTTTGCAGCCGTCCCCAAGGCTGCTGGTATTACTCTGGCTGTATATTTTATCACTGCTGGTTAGTTTTCTGGCACAAGTCTGGCATTTAAGAACATTTTCAGTAGGGTTGATGTTGAACCTTTCCCAGAAACTTACTGTTTTGCTGTTTTAGTTTTTCCAAAACCAGTTTTGATGTGCGTTGGGGATCATTGTCCTGATGAAACACTCAAAGTATCAATCATCTAACCTTCTGTACAGCGAAGATTTTCCTGTGATGCCTTAAATAAGGTGTTTTGAATGATGTGACATCACGCTGTTAAAAACAACACAGATTTCTGAGATGAACCAGGGATGTTGAGGCAGTGGGAGTGATAATTTCAGTTTCATCTGTCAGCTGGGAAGAATGAACATATAACCATTACTTATTTTCTCTCAGCTAATAGAAAAAATAAATAAATGTGAAATCCAAATATCCTAAAAGAATATCCCAGCTAATGTAGATGTTTTCAGTACAGAGATGATAACATATATTCCTATTGCTTGCAATTATTCCTTTTGGAAAAACATAAAGAAAGCAACAACAAAAAACTAGGAGCTAAAACAAAGTTTCAAGGAATTTCTCTAGATAGATCACTTTCTGACATGATCCAGTTTTTGATTTTTTTGAAGCAGAGACAATTTACAATAAATACAAAAGCAACTTGAAAAATAAACGTGCATGCTGTGTCAATATTTCACCCTGGAAGAAGAACTACACAACCACACTGATATAAGAAAAACTAAATTTGTTCACATTCCTGTCACTGAGTGTTGTGCTGAATAAACAAGAGCTTGACAAACAGTTCATAAACACCACTTTTCATTGGAAATCTTTCCATATTTTATTATCCCATTTGTATTGCAGATTGTGCTTTTATCCTGAACAATGATCTACTATTGAGCTGATATTAGTCAAAGGTTTTGTCCAGGGGTCAGATGAATAACATAATATTGAATGCAATACCTGCAAAATAAAGCGCACCCTTTAAACAAGCACATGTTACTTTTAAGACATTTATTACAATGCATTTAGCCGCTGCTCATAGCAACAGCTGCTATCACAGTTGCAACGTGCTGAACTGTAAAATGTTCGTATTGTCTCTGAATATTCAGAATTACTTAAAATAACATTCATCCTCTTATAAAAAATGTCCTCTTTATACTTTAAGTTGATGCTCTCATAACACTAACTTCTCATTGGTTGTACCAATGTTGGTAGAGATTCTATACATACATAAACATAATTAAAGGCCAGATTTCATACAATTTAAATGTTTTTAAACAATATTAATATACAAGTATATACAGTCCCAACCAGATATGTAGCTACTCTGTATAAAAAAGATACATAACCATTTTTTCTCACTGACATTAAAGCAGGTCATTATCTTCCAAATTTCCAGATTATGGAAACTGTGTTTTTTCTGGGTGTTTTTTTTTTTTTTTTTACTTTGTTCAAATCAGAGGTTTATGTAAATGTCCCTGGTATTTGGTACAATTTTCTTTTACCACAAATAAGTTGTCACAAACATTTTGGGTGACTTAAACGGGATTAAAATCAGGGGTGTAAAATGGCCGCTCCAGAATATTGACATGATCGCTTTATAACTAGGCTTGTAAATGATACCAAATGTGTAAACCAATCAGGACAGGCAATTATCTTCCTGGTATTTTGACAAATTTCTCTTCATTTGTCCACAATGTCACACCAGGTTTTAGCTGTTGTCCTAAAATATATGTCTCATTCTTACTCAATTTTGTGATGCTTCCAAAGCCATGACATGATTTCTCAAATTGTTTAAAGGCATATTATTCTATGTGAACTTCTGATTTTGATAAAAGCAACAAGTAAAACATAATGTTATCTTAGCTAACTTATGATGGCACAAAATAGTTATGTCTTTTTATACAGTGTATGTAAATAACTAATTTCAACTGTATTATTTGTATTATTGTCATTATTGTGCTTCACTGTTATAAAATATTTTCTTTGCTCTGTAGTTGATCAACTTCATATACATCTTCCAAATTTGTTTCATTTTTCTTTCATGCACATTTGAATGAAGAAAAGAATGGATCTTGTTTTCTTTTCAAATCTTTTGATCAGGTTAAATTTTTCTCCAGTAAACTTGAAACAGGAACCATCCAACCAACACGGCTTCACTGCAGTCGGACCTCATATGAGGTTGGCCAAGCTGGAGGCGGTCTCCCTGCGAGCGTGGCGGTCCATGTGTCCTGACACGGTAAACACATTCAGAACTCGGTCTACAAGTCTCCGTCCGTGTCTCGTCCTCCCCAGCAGGACAGCCACCACCGTGTATATCCCAACGCCCACGACGGCGACTCCTCCACCCGCCAGCAAAACCACTCCAGAGATGTACATGTCATTGAGGGCTTGGCCCGGCTTCGGCATATGGTGAACCAGCGCTAAATGCAGGAGAACCCCTCCACAAATCAGCAGCGACATCCCCGTGATCAGAACCACCAAGACGTCGGACAAGCCGCCGCTCTTCAGCATGTCTATCTGGTGTCGACTCCGGACGCAGTTCATGTCCTGCACGGCCGAGCTGAGCAGCTGCTTGAGCAGGACGCCCAGGGCCAACAGGCACAGGGCCGTGCCTGCGCCGAGCCGCCATTCGCTCGATACGCTGGTGGTGGTGGAGAGAAGGCCGACGCCTCCGAGTCCGCAGCCCAGGATTAGGAGCACCGAGACACAGTAGCAAAGGAAAGACCGCCCAGGGTCTCTGAACCACCACAGCTCCACCTGCTCCTCAAGGATGCTGTGCTGAATTTGGGCCGGGTCCGCCGGACCGTTAAGGCCCAGATCTGGGCTTCTGTCTTCATTCAGAGGGGGGAAGTTGTCCAACTCTGGCATCCTGCTGCCACTCCCAACCTGCTGAATATGGACGACAGAAGAATCCACCAATGACCTTGGTCTTTTGTCAGATTTCTTGATGACAAAAACAAAAGAAGATTCCAGATGATTTAAATAAAATATTCATAATTCTAACTGTGGAAATCTAAAACGCTACAGGATTTGTAAGCCTCCTCTAAGCCCAGTGTATTTGGATCTTATCAGCACCGGTGTGTACAAAAAGGTCCCAGAAAAGTCATCTTAGGTCGGCTGCCTCTGTGTGAATGAAAATCTTTATAGCCCACAGCCAGTGGATACAAATTGTCCTTTACTGCATCAATATTCAAAGCAAAGAATCCGGGCAGCAGCAGCAGAATTTTTAGTTTGTCCCTCCACGGCGGCAGCAGTCACCTGGAAGATAAGACAGACATATATTCAGTAGTGTGTGGGGTTTATTTTCTCATGGGTGCCCTCTCTGCCACTGATTCTGAGATCTGTGGCAAGCACGCTGCAATGACTGACTGGGTACATTTATTCTGTTCCTAACCAGACAATAAATCATTGCACAGAAATAGATCCAGTGCTCCTCCATCTTTCTTCCCCACCAAGCATTTAGGCATTTACTAAAATGCCTAAATGTGCACAAAATGTTAAATCAGGTTAAATTTTGAAGTATTAAAGCGCCACAGAAAAAAAACAACACTTCGTAAAAGTGTCTGGTCGGCACATAATAAAGAATCTTGATCTTCTAATGCTGAGTAAAGGAAAAACTTTCAGCTTCATTCCTTTGCAGATTGTAAAATTGTGGATTTTTTTTTAATGAAACAAATGAAACAGATATTTTGCACACTGCATGATTAATATCTCACATTTGGTCAGTTCCTCTCCCAACACACTGGCACCTCTGAGTAAAATATTAGTAAAAGTTTTCTCCAGATTCTCCATCACAAATCTTCCACCATACATTACAGTGGAGATAAGGCTCATCTCATATTTATTGTTTGATTTTTGTTTTATTGAGTGATTATGGTTGTTAGACAGAAAAAGCTTTCTCATGACATAATATAGAAGAAATCAACATATAGTTTGCATCTATAGATCCCAGAATGACAGTCTTTGCTATGGATTTTTATTAGTAATCATTGGAGATTTGGATATCATCATCCTGCTCATTGTACAAGGTGTTAGGACAAACGTAGGTCATGTTATGTTGGTCACATAACATTATGACATGATTCTCGCGCAGTTTTTCTGAACACTCAAACTTCCTGTTCAGACTGTGTAAAACAAAAAAAAGGAAAAACAAACTTGTGCTGACTCTAGCAACCTTTTCTATTTCTCATTATCACTATGGTAATGAGCTGCCACCACAGCGGCGGCTCAGTAAAAAGAAGGATCAGCTTCCTATGGAATAAACAATTTGCGTTTAAAGACACAGATGAAATTCTGGAGCGAATACATAAACTACTTTTTACTACAGTTTTTATTTTTATTTTTTCCAAACAAACTCATGCAAGAATATCAGCTGAGTAGTAATATCTTATGTGCATTGCCGATGCCTTATGAGGGATTAAATTATCCTCCTTATATATGGCCCAATACTTTCAATCCCATTTTCTCTCCTTCTTTAGTCATTTCCCCGATGCTCAGCAAATTCTGCCTCTGCGACGTTATTTGTAACCTTATCCAAGCCCCTTATCAAAATCATGTTAACACAAACAGTGCACACTGGAAGACTAAACAGCCACAAGGTTATGGCAGTCAACAGCTTGCCTTTATAAACCTGTCAGCGGCTCAGTTTCCATCAAAGTCACTAGTGCGCAGCATGGCTCTGTGCGCGCCGACGTAAGCTGACAGGAGTTACAGCTTGTCCTCGCCAGTTGTTGATCTCGCAAACACAAATGTCGCTCCGGCAAACACAAATCTATAACAGTCTGAGTAAACAAAACATGATCTTGCATTCAGTTTTAAGATTGGAGGATTTTTTTTTTTTACCTACTCCATCTTTGGGACCAAACGCATTTCTTTTCTGACTTTTTGTTGGAAGAATTATTTACAAAACACGCCCAAAATACTAAATGCAAGATCAGACAGGTGTTGCATTGCGCTGATGCAGAGCAATAGCAACCTGACACGGGGAGATATAGGGTGCATAACCAAGGTGTGAAATGAAGAGTGAGGTAATTACAGCAGAGCAGGGGGGTGGGAGGTGTTTATTGGCAACAAGCTGTCCTGGAAGCTCTTCACATCCTGTGTCTGATGAATAATTAGGCCAAAAACACACGCATGCCTGGTGTGTGTTTATAGCTGCCAACAGTTGTAAATGAATAGCGAAAGGTGACAATATGAATGCAGTGTCGCTTTATCACTTTTATGGTGTGACTGCATTGTGTTTGTCAAAGAAAGACATAAATGAAGATACATTTAGCGTGCAAGTCATGTGTGTGAGTGTGTTTGTGAGTCACTAATTAATCCCAGCTGGCTTCAGCTCAGTGTCAGTGACAGGTAAGGCCACAGAAATAGCACCGTAATTGAGTTGTATGTGTGCGTGTTTTTCTTAGTGTCTGAAAGGTTGAGCCACCCAAGGTGTAAAGCTGAGAAGAACCATCTTTTATACTGAAGCACCATCTACAGCTAACGTTTACTGAGCCTCCTTGATTTATGCTGCACCGTTTCATGAAATATTGTTTTTATTTCCTTCAACAGCCCCGAGAAACATAAAGCAGAGAAGCCACCGGATGATTGAACCAGAGGCAATGGTATGCAACAAAGATCATAAGATAAAATCGAAGCCTTAATGACACAACTGTATCTTACTTGTGTTGCGTTGGCCACAGTCTCTTCACCACAGACACACAGAGAGGCACAACCGCTGGGCTCTGTCTGCTTTTCTACTTTTATCCATTATGTGACCTCTAAACTCTGTCATATCAGCTGTGTCAGATTGGTGTCATAAATATCAGTAGAACAGCACTGACTCACTGCTTCACTGGCCTACTTTAAAGGAGCTGAAAGCTGATACAGAGAAGTAAAAAAGTAATAAACTATTGGACCTAGACGTCCAAACATGTCTGTGCTGGGCTCATTTGAGCATTACTACAAGGAGCTGATGTTTTTGTTTAGCTCATTCTAGGCTCCAGAAGAGTAATAAGCATTCCTGTTTGACACATCTGATAAGAGCTTTTAATATGGTGAAGAAAGGAGCAAGAAATCTCCTGTGAACCAAAATAACCTGTAAAGCAAAGACAAACAAGCAGTCCATCTATGTATGTCAAACTGAATAAGTGTATTATTATATTTTGCCAAACGACGTTTTACAGATTATCTTGAGTTATATGATTGTTTTATTACCATCAGATATAATAAAACGGATGTGGCCAGATTCTTGATCTGTTTGCCATTTCTTATATTGCAAAGATTTTACCTAATATTGTGACTATGATGACACAGATAAATGTAGATTCTTTTAAATGTATTTCACAACATGACTGATGCAAAAGAAACCTTAATGTTTAAAGTGAGAACTTCACATCTTAGTAGTTATTTGTTTGTCTCTATTAATCCACAGCATTTCAACTATTCATTTGTTTTGTTGATACTAAGAACTAATAACTCAAACGGTATGACTAAAGGGAAAATGCCATCATATTTTGGACTTAGGACTTAAATCGTACGTGGAGGATGAGCACACATATCACATGTGTAACCAATACTTCTAAAAAGGAAATGAAATTCTTTCACCTACAAAAAATTAGCTTCCCAATGGAAATGTGTTGAATAAGTTCAAGTGAGCTCTTCCTCTTTTCTAAAGGTTGTGCTACACCAGAAAAGTACGTGAAATTATTGAAAGTAAATGGAGGAAGAGACTGGACTTTTCCTCATCCTTCCAAAAAACAGTCTATTTGAACTGTGTTTCCTCCTGAACAAGCCGATCCACCTCCTGTCTGTATACAGACTGATCACTGTCCTGGATCAGACCAGAAGCAGCATTGACATCTGCAAGTTTCACAGATGGTTCCAATGAGGAGCAACCATTTGTGTAAAGAGAGAAGGGCGTGGGGAGAGAACGCATCCCTGAGGGACACCGTTGCTGCTTCTGAGACATTTGTTGCTGAATAACAATTATGGAGTCTTACACAGAATCAGGAGAGCTTAGGCTTGAAGAAAAATCCTTCAACTCCCTTCAGGGATAATGATGTCACAGCAAAGACAGATAGCAATAACTATAAGTATATTTTGTCCACATAAAGTAACAATGCTAGTCAGAATGGGAGAAGAAATTGCAACATCTATTAGGTCTTAAAGATAGTACTCTTTAGACAAGATTTCTAATGGCCTCCTTCCCTTCACTCAACAAAGTACCATTCAAATGTTTCTCTTTAGAAATGTGGGCTTTAGTATTTTGTGTTAAGCATTTTTGCTCAACATCAGTATTTTCAATGCAATGTCATCGTTTCTGGCAGCTTCGGCTCCATGTTCAGTTGCCTTGCACTCAAATTATTCCTTACTTAAACTATCACTAACTGCTGATCAGATCAATGTCTTTTACTCCCTGAAGTACCTTTAAAAACCAAAAGAAAACTGCACACCTCAAAACTTGTGATTAAATGACTGCTGCTAAAAGATACCATTTTTAAAAATGTTTGTCTCTTAGCTGACAGGAATAATAAATGTGTTCCAGATGCTTCAGTATAAACTGAAGTGAAAAAAATCAGACATTAATAGTCCTAACAGTCTTTGTTATGCTAATTCACAGAGAGAGAAGATGACAACTCTGAAAAGACATTGTAACTGTAAACCATGGACACAGAGTATCATTCTGTCTCCTTTTCTCTGCTTCCCCTCTATGTTTCCAGCCTACTAGGTCATCAGAGGAGCTGTGCCTCAGAGTAAAACACTGTATGCTGCACTCCAATTACCTGGGAAGCTTTGGGATGCCGGTATTCCCCTCTCTGTTATGTTGGCCAGCTGGATTCATTTCACTGGCTATTAGTACTTCATTTATTGTGGAACGTGGCTCTCTTAAAATTGGTTGCCTGGTATTGTATGCTCATCTGAGTCCTGATCATCTGCAGAAAAATGTAAAAAAAACAGGATCCAAACAGGCAAAGTTTGGCATCGGGAAAATGAATCTGATAACGCTCCTGTGCAAAGTTAATACTCATGTAATTATTGTATTACATACATGAATGTCGCAGGTAACAGGAGGGAAAAGCACACCCACAGCGTGTGAAGTCCCACAAGATTTCTATCTTCTGGTTTCCTCAGGTGAAACAAATTATTGACTCAGTTCTCTCAGTCCGTTTCCATTTGGTGCTCACTTCTATCTAAAATTAGTGTTCAGAGTCTGTATGTCATAGAAAAATGGTTTTCCTCCTGTATCTTTGGTTTCCTCATCAAGTATTTTGATGACACCTTGCCCAGACAAAAAAAAAAAAAAGCTAGAGCAAGATTTTTCTGTCAAACGCCCAAAGTAAAAACATGCCAAAGGGAAAACATGAGCCGAACTTCCCGCTGCGCGCGATTTTATCCGAGAGCATCGACTACAGCTGATGGGGAGTCCACAGGAGTTTGTGTGACGTGTTGCCGTGGTGACAGTGTGATGCTCTCCTTCTGCTCTTCCTGTTCCTTTTCGTCACGCTCACTCTCACTCCAACCCCCGCCCCTCTCCTTTACTCAGGCGTTGAATCTCTTGGCATCCCCACGGGCGAAGAGCGGGGTCAGGGTTGGCTCCATCTGTCTATGTGATGGGCACTGGTGCCAAGCGCCACAGGGGCTGGAGGGAGAGGAGAGCAGGCTCGTGTGGACTGGTAGGGTAACGGATGTTTCTGAGCTGTCATGTGGGACTTCAAATGGGGGATAAGGCTGGGAAGTGGATTGAGGCTGAGGGGGAGGAATAGGTGTAAAGCGGTTTGAGAAGAAGGGGCTAAGGATGAAGGGAATTGCTCAGGGCTAAGGACACTGCTTTTCTTGGTGGATTCTGTTGTTGTCGGCCAAGAGGAATGATGCTGAATAGGTCTTTATGTAGACAAGCTGGATTTTTCTTTTTCTCTCTCTCTCTCTCTCCCGATACAATGGACAGGCGAGGACCTCGGGGAGCCTCACTGTCCGGAAACGGTGCAGAGACAATGTCCGAGTCAGAGTCACTGTCCTCTCTGTCAGGGATCACAAAGGAAAACCTAAGAGAGGCAGAAAGACAGAAATACTTTTAACCAAAACAGCACCTTCTGTTCTGTAGCTGTCTCTGAGGTTCTCTCTTACATCTTATCTTATCTGAAAGTGTACACACTGACGTGATACAAACAGGATTTTGTAATTGTTACACAAATCATTTTAGAAAGTTTTCTGTCTTAAATGTCACATCTATCATGAGTTCTTCGTCTGGGAATTCAAAAACCTGGTTGCATAACTGTGAACGCCCTTAAACTAATACTTTGATAAAGAACCAACAAAAGTTTGAACATGGGAGACAACTCGGCATAATCTGCAGAAGACAACTACTGATCATTAAAACTTTAAAAGTATTTTGTAAACTTGCAAGACAATAATTATATATAATACAAGTTATATAGTAGAGTATTTGAGATGAAAAAGGGTTTTCTGTCATGAGATCTATGGGTATTAAATTAAATACTTTTGAATAAAGTCAGGTCTGTCTAGTGAAGTGCCATCCAGTCTCTGTAGTGGTTTAAGGTTTCACTATGAACATGGAAATGTGTTACCCATGAAATCCTGATGTAGCTATGCTTAAGACTTATTTTGATGTTGTTTTTAGATTCTATGTTTCTACATTTAAATAGTTGGCCATAAAGCCAATCTTTTTTATCAAATCAAGTTTGAAGCATCCAACTATACTCTCTCCAACTATAAACACATCTGGGCAGTAGAAGACTTAAATGACAGTGGTAGAAAACAAAGAGGCACATCACAAACCCAGTACCAGTGTATTTTGTCCCACTTCTTTAATAACCTTTATGGAAAAATATCCTAACTTTTAGGATGGATGCTGTTAAATTTGAGATCTTGCAGGGATGCAGATCCTAATAGGTGAGTGATCCTTTAACCCATCATATTGTGCTATAAGTTCAAATGTTTTTTTGTTTTTTTTGTTGGTTTAGCACCAGATGTTTATGCCCATCAATCTCAGTTGCAATTTAAAGCCATTTGTCTGAATTTCAGAAAATTATCACCATTTTATGTTTCATGGAACAATTCAATGGGGCTAACTGTGTGATGATAGACTTTTGTGAAATTTAATTAGATTTTAAACTTCCCATTTACACAATTGTCCCAGCCAGATTAATTGAGACATCTACTGACTAAGATATTTTCTCAGTTTTTGGTTAAAAACAGCCTCTGAGCAGCCCAGGAAGCTAACCACTTTTTTCCCACTGACACGCTATCATGCAAGCACATGCACACACACGTTTGTGTGGCTATCTTTGTGGGGACTTTCCATTGACTTCCACTCATTTCTACAGCCTACACCTTTTCCCTTCTCCTAGCCCTAACCCTAACCATTACATACTTAACCCTAACCCCCCAAAAAACTCAATTCACACTTTAATCTGACCCCTGACCCAAAAAGAGTGTTTCTCCTTGTGGGGACCAGGCTTTGGTCGGCATGGAGAACAGTGGGTTCCCACAACGTATTATATGTTAGGACAATGGTCCCCACAAGGTATTACAAATGCACACACACACACATTTATCTCCATCTTTTTCCCCTCCTACACCTACTTATCTGGCATAAAGCTGCAGGTTTAGGCACCTTGCTCCTGTGCTCCTCTGTCTCACCACCAGGCCTCCTCTCAGTGGCCACTCTGTGTTTCTCGTTTGTGCTGCCTGTTGGATTTTTGGTGCTGCAGACAAGGTGAGTAGATGGGGGAGGTAAGATTGCCTGCCACTGCCACAGATCCTCATCTGGATCCAAGTAAGAGATTGTCTGACTCAAATGCCCTTGCGGAATAATATATGCTAACATAAACAACTGTTTTCCTGTGTCAACATTATCTATTCTACCTCAGTAAGGTCTTACGGAAATGAATGTCACCAGTAAAAGCCTGGATCTTAAAAAAGGTAAGACTGCTTATATCAATTTTTATCAGTTTAATATAAGAAAACTGTCAGTTTCTGTTGATGAAGATAAAGTCCAACACTATCTGATTCAATACAGTGCTGGTTGGAGGTCATGTCATACATTTTATGTACATTTATTATTTTTTTCAAGGCCAAAGAAGATGCCATCAGGCATAAGGTAAAGTACAGCAAGGATCAGTCAATCACAAAGGTATCCACAGAGTCAGACACTCAGGCATACCCTCACTTCGCAATAAACTGGCCAAATATGTTTTGAGGCAGAGGGAGGAGATCTGTGTAGATACTCCCTGGTGACCCCATCCTCCCCACTTTTTCTTTGCACAATGACAGGAGGCTGTTAAGTGCATAATGTACATTTTTGTTTTCCTGTCAAAATAGCAGAAGCAAAACTTTACATGTTTAGCTTTTATGATAGCAAATTGTGCCTATTAAGAATTAAAAACATCACTGTGCTTTTGTTCTTTTCACAATAACACTTCCAGCCTTTCATTTTGTACCTGTATCTGAGTCGATGCGTACCTATGTACTTAACCATTGCATAATCAGTTTATTTGTCTTGGTAGTTAGGTATGGTGATTCATTAAAGAGATAAGTAATCAGAGGCATTGGGTGGTTCAGTTGGCAGAGCATGAGGACCTTGTGCAGAGGCTACAGTCCTTGACGTCGTTGTCTTGGGTTCGATTCCTGGTCTCAGACCGTTTGCTGCATGTGTTCCTCCTCTCTCTCCACTCTATTTACTATTCAATAAATGACACTAGTGTCAAAAAAAGAGATCATCATAAAAAATATTTAATCTTGTTAAGAATTTAATCTTTTGTATATCATTTACTGAGTATTTGATATTAAACCCAATGTCCATTTACTGTGGTTTTAATCCCTGTTTGGACCAGTAGAGTCTTATCAAATATGAGAGATTAGGAGCCCTGATCAACCCAAAATAACTTTGGATGACTTCCTGCAGACAGATATAATTCATACGGGTCACGTAACCACATTTTCTAGCACTAACATGTGACCAGATTATTAAATAGTACTTTATATCATAGATAATCAAAGATGATGTGGAGTATCCTTAAGGCTGGTACAGATTGGTGCACAGCTGGTACATTACACAGATGGTATCCAGAACAATTCTGGGTACAAAATGATCAAAACCGTAAAAGTACAAACTTGCAAATTAACTAAATGACCAGGAGTTTTATCCCCCTAACCCATAAATACACTTAAACAACTGATAATCATAAAGTTGGATTTAGTGGTTGGTCTTTGATATTTGAACTGAAGAAGCTGCAGGTTGTAACAGTGGTGATGTGACTGACATATAATTACGCAACAGACTCTTTTTAAACCGTCAGTAACGAAAGAGAGTGATGCGTATAACTTGCGGCTCATAGACCCAATGGGTGTCTCAGTTATTCTCAATTTAAAAGAAAAATCTAAAAGATAAAAACGCAGGCCAGCCAGTTGCTCCCTATGGCCATGTACAGCCGTGAATATTAGAACAGCAATAAATTCACCAATTAACATGCAAGTCTCCTTCTGCCACTTTGCTGCTGATAATGGGTGAAAGACTGCTTTGTTCCTAATATCACCTAGCATTGCTTTTTTAAATCCACTTCTGCGCACTTAAAGATTTCAAGATGATATAGGAGATGATTGTAGATTTCTAGTGGAAATGTTTGGAGCAAGATGCTGCAAATCTTCTATAAATCTCCTGTGGAATCTCCTGCCATCATCTGTTGGGGTAAAAGCTTCTCAGGCAGTGGCTTCAAAAGGGTAAATGAGGTGAAAAAGAATCCTGGTTTAGTTCAGGACACTACTGTAGAACCTCAGGAGAGTACTTCATAATATGAAGAACATTATGAAACACCCTGATGAACCTGTTCATGACAATGATATAGAACAACTGAGTGTCTTCAGTCAGAGGCTTCTAATATACCTCTGTAACACAGCCTTCTGCAGGAGCTCCTTTGTTAACTGGACTATTCTACTGTTAACGGATATTCTTCAAAAACAGCACAGTCTGAAATTTTAAAACTTTATCTTATTTCATATAAAATCCAAAAAGATAACTTCAAGCTTTTTCTGGCATCTGGATGAAGTTATGCTGACACAAGCAAGATAACTGCAGTATAAAAATCTGCCAAAATTGGACTGATATAATTTAAACTGACTAAGTTCTTTAATTAACATGAAGTTTTGATTTTTAAAAGGGAGAAAATGGGAATTATTTTTAGAGAAATCATTTTCTAGGCGAGATAAACTGTGGATAACAGAACTATTAGTAATTAATTCACTTTATAAATCACATGTTTATTGAAAAATTATAAGCTTGTTCAACTGTTGAAAAAAGAAAGCAAGTAAGATAGGAGGCAGTGCAAACATATGGAAGAAAGTGCTCTTGTCAGACGGGACCAAGGTTAAGCTTTGTGGTTTAAATACAAAGCGTATGGTATGTATGTATAGTAAAAAATAAAAAGATATATAAAAAGAAAACAATGAACACACCATCCTTGCAATGAAACATGGTAGCAATATCACCATGTGGCCATCCTTTTCACGGGGGCAGGGTAACTTACAAATTGCAGACAATGTGAGTTGTTTATATTCTTTCTTGCTAAGGCTTTCATTTTGAAATGATTTACTATGCCTAAAATTAAGCAGCCATTTCATCTATCCAAGCAAATAATGTTATAAGTGTTTTCTGGGTGGTTCAAGGGTAACAAAATGCTAACAATGCATTACTGAAGCGATGTTGGAACAAATTTAGGAGAAATTCTCTAAAAAATAAGTCATTGTAGTCTTTAGCAGGATTGTGTGAAACTGATTATGTTTATTAGTGGCCTTGTAATGTGCCCAGGGACAGAAATGAGCACAATCAATACGACTGTTGTTGCCCACACCCTACATGCTCGACTGTGTGCACATGCAAAAAATCCCTGGAGGATACCTCACATTATGATCTCCCCTTTACTTCCATTAGTGTATGCGATGTCCATCTCTTACACACACATACACAAATTTTGGTCTCGTAACTTCAACACACTCATTTACTGACTCACTTTGTTTTATTTTTTTCTCTGCTTCTTTCATCCTGCTCTTCTTATTGACTTCAGGCTGTTTCTTAACGAGGTCTATCACATGTTGTTTTCGGCCTGGCTTGTGTTTTAAGCGTTAGACGTCACCTTAAAAGCACTGAGGAGTGTTTTCAGAAGACTGAGGGTGACTGCATGCTTGTAAAGCCTATTTCATATGCCCTGTCATGATTAATCCGCCATCAACATTATGACCGATCTATAATAGCAGCCCATTGGGGGTCATGCCCGTGCAACCATGTATCGACCTGTTCCAATTGCAATATTGAATACAGCTTCAACAACACTTCCTTTATGTGTGTTTTTATGGATTTTCCACAATGCAGCAAAACTGATATGACAGTAGCCTTGTGAACTGATGAGATACAGAGTATTTCAGCATTACAGTAAGCACTTTGAGACTGCAGGCCTAGCCAGTGCAAAGGTTAGGGTGTAAAATTACTGACATGTTTTACGCTCTTGTTTTGATGGAACAGAAGAGCAGTTTATAAAAGAAGGCAGAGGTATAACACTTCAGCTGGAAGAGGAACGCCATCCAGGTTAGTAAAATCTTAGAATGATTTTTATTGAAAATGCTAAAAAGTTTGTATTGTGTATATTTATTCCTGTCAGACAAATGACCCACAAAGTAAAAACTTTTTGTAACAATGTTAAATTAACGTTTTGTGATGCATAATTCGAAGGCACATCATAATGGTTATTGCTGAGGTTTTCTTTTACACAGCTAAGCACGTTGAAGCACTTTAAAGATCATGCAATAAGCTCTAACTAGATCCTATTTGAAAAGAATAATTTCTTTTCAAAATAAACATAAAAACGAAAAGGAAAGATAGATAACACACAAAACGCACAAAAGACGAAAGGGCTAAGTTTATTATCCAAATAATTAAGTAACTAATAAAGCCTATACACAAAATGAAAACCTTCAAAAAGCATTCTAATGTGACAGTAAAAAACTTACATCAAAGTTTAAATCAGTCAAATTAAATAAGTTTGATTTAGAAAGGAAAAAAAAAGTTAGACCCTAACAGCACAGCTCCATTCTTTAGGGATGCTGGATTATTAAACGAGTCTTACCTGCGCACTTGGTTTGTCAGTCTGATGTCTTCCTTTCTGAGCCGTGAAGGTCCTTTTTTTTATATTCAGCCATGCGTGGGCTACGTAAAGTCCCACAGCTGTCTCTCGCTGAGCACCTTCAGCCTTTCGGACCAGGAGGTTCCGATCCTGGCGGCTGTAGTGCCCGTCTCGCTGCCTCCGTTGGCTGTCCGTCCGCAGACTCAGCGTCTCTCCTTCGCCTGCTCACCGCATCGACGGACTTCCCCCGTTTAATGCAGGTGTGGCAGCGAGCGGCGGCAGGGGACGCTGCTGGGTGGAGACAGAGGAAGAGGCGGCCAATCAACCGATGCTCTGCCGCGGGTCTTAGCGGGGAGCCCCGCACGTGACGAGAGCCAATAACATATAAAACCCCGAGGGGGGACAGATTTATTGAACAGAAGTCATTTTAACAACTCCAGACCATCTGTGATAGATAAGTCAGCCAATAGAATGGAATAGAAATATCCTTTATTACCCCCTCAGGTGTAACAGCACCTGTGGAATAATAAAGTGGAATCAATAATCTCTGGACACTGACTGGATATGCATGACCTCCAAGTATTAGTTCTGGTATTCCGTCTTTTTTTTTTTTTTTTAGAAACATTAATACAAATACAGAGGAGACCTGTAATAATGTGCAAAAGTAAAAACTGCAATTAATAATTTTTAAGCATTAATCTCTCTGTGTTTTCAGGTATTTCAGACATCTTATGATTTGGGGCAAGCTATTAAAATTGTATGACAAAGCTTAGGCTATCTATAAGTGATCTATACATTTAAAATATTAACTTTATTATATATATATATTTTTTTTTGAATGAAGTTGTTTAGAGGTTTTACACACTGATTAAGTTTATCATTGTAGAATAATGGCTTCATCATTGTTTGAAAATAACCTTATGAACCAGACTACACTGACACATGGTTAATATTAAGATGTGCTGATTAATATTTTCATTGGTATTTAACATATTCCCTTTTGATCAGGTTCACCTTCATTTGGGCAAATATGACATTTTTTTTAAGAACATGGCTTGGTCTGAGTTTGTGTTACTTAATTAGTTCAGATTTTAAAGCTTTTATTAGTTCAGATAATCTTAAAGTTTAGTTTGAAATTTGCAGAGCAAAGTAATATTTGGCAAGGCTCTTTTTCTAAGATTTACGTATAATCACACATGAAGGGTTTTTCAAAATTATTAAAACAACATAATATGAGATAATAGAATATCTCTTGGAAAGTAGAAGATAGGAGTTCAGAAAGCATTCACGTGTGTGAACTCATCTCTGAATATGTGGCTTTATTTGTGCCTCTTCATCAGTACAGCGGTAACAGTGTGGATCATATTCAGCATTTCAGCCGGTTTCTTTCTGGCAGTGCTTGTTCTTCAAGTTCGATATTTTCATCCTCATCAGGGCTGCGATCCAAAATTAGATCAAGTACCTCATTCATGGTTCGTCACTTACGTATTGTGGTGCTACCACAGAATTGTCATGTGCTGGCAGAAAAATGTTATTTATAGACCAAAGCTGCAGGAGCTGATTAGTGTACTTGTGTCGGTTACAGTATTGTGAATGTGAAAGAGAATCTGGGAGTGTGAAAGTGGGACTGCATCTGGATGCAGAAACACTTTTGTTGTTTTGTTTGTTCATCACAGCACCAATTTGTGTGGCAGTGTCTTCTTAGCATTTCATTTTTTTTTTTTTTTTTGAAAGAAAATACCTCCTATGTCAGTTGGTTGGGCTGATAAATAACCTTGGTGTGTGTGTGATATAACACATTGATGAAGGCATCTCTGACTCCAAGACTGAATGATTGATTCTCTTTGGTTAGGCCAAGACTACCTCACATCCATTTAGCTGCTGATGTCTCATAATTGGAATCATGTAAAAACACTATTCTCCAGAGCTGAGTGTAAATTTAATAATAGTTCATTTTCAAAAAGGTAAACAAGAAAAGACAAAAGTATAGTGAACACCAACATGGCTATGTCTGACTATTTCCAGATGGAATAAATCTGCTTTACTAAACTTATTGTCACTTGCTTTTTTATGGTGAATTTTGCTAGCATTATCCTTCCCGGTATACGCTCCCATTTCTCAGATTCCCTGGAGACTTAACTCTATGGTGTTGGACTGGATGCATTTGCAATTATGGTATTTCGGTTAAATAAGAAATGCAGTTAAAATCACAGGCGAATAATTTAGTTCACGCGATAAGTCGTCAACAAAACATACTGCGCCACGATCCTTCAGCTACTTCCTGTCGTCTTATTCATGGTTTGCGCCAGTGGCAATGTCCAGTGGTTGATCATGTGACCTGTGTGTTGCCATTGCAGTTTTGCAAAGTAAAGTAATTTCAATATGGCCAAAAACCCAAATCATTCTATCACAACAGTTTTTCCAGTTAGTGGATTTATTTTCAAAATATTAAATTGTGCAATGATATGGTCAATTTAAATGCAGCTACATATATTTTATACAATCAAGTTCATTCATGGAAAATTGATTAATTTGATATATTTTACTTGAATTGGTTTTAATGACTTCTTATGTATTAGCCCTACAGAGTCCACTATTTCTGTGGGAAACATTAAAATAATTTGAAAGCATAAACATTTCAAGGCAAAACAAGTTGCAAAATTCGACTCCAAATATGGCCTTTTTTTCTCTGATGCCTGCTCTCTGCTTAGAGGTTGACAGCCTGTGAGTCTCAATGAGTTGTTTTCCTTCAGTTGCTCTTCGTGGCTGGAAGACTCCATCTGTGTCTATCATGTGAAAGCTCCACCTGGAAGACTTATGAGCAGAACTGTGACAGACTGTCAGCAGTAGTGACACTGGCATAAGAAAACATCACATTTCCTCCAAGAAGAAGCATGACTATGTAATCAAACAGCAGATTTCTAACAAAATAGATTGGCAGTATTTTGAGAGTAGGTAAATCAGAGATCCGTAGAGTAATGTATAAAAAATAGACTTTTGAAAAATATTGAAAAATAAGGAACATCTTAAACAAGCGAAGAAAGAAGGACATTGTTAATGATTAATGGAAACGACTAAGTAATTTATAACATTTGCACACAAATTCTTGATAATGACTATTAATGGAATCTAGCCATATTTTGTCTGAACTCAAAACAAAGAGATATCTAAAACATACACAGATTCTTATGCAAGCGTAAATGATCACGTTGGGATCATTAAGGTGTTTTTGAATTTGTATTTGAAAAGAATTTTCTTAATAAAAATTACATATCAGAAAGTTATTTTAAATACCGAATGTTATAAAAATAAAACATAATTTGTTGACTGACTTAATAATTCAACATCTGCTCTTTTATGAACTTTGCTTTTTGGCTTTTTTTTCAATTAACATTGTTTTTATTTCTACATTTTTTTCTACTTCTGCTTCTTTTACTTTCTGATTTTAATTTTAGATTAATTTTTAATGCTTCCCCTCAAAGTGTTTGCACATTAGCTCTTATTTAAATTTGATTCATTTTCCACACCAAGTCCTAGTTTAAATTTCACAAAACCTTTAAACCTAGTTGGTCATCAAACAACCTATGATGCCCAGGATATTCTCAAAAAAGATTTTAAGAACTATCAAACCGTGACTACTGGAGCAACACAAGATGCACACACATGAATGAATTTTGCAAAGGCTCAGTAGATACACCAGCACAGATTGGCTCCCTGATCCTTGATCTAAAAGGACCAATATCTCATTTCCATTTAAATTAAGGCCACCTTGTCAGTAGGCTGATACTGCAACTGCCATCAATGATGGTGGGAAAAGAAACTTTGCTTCTTACCAATAAAAGTTCCAACATGATCTCCTCATCTATACCAGATATAGACTTTGATAAATCTAGTGACAAAAACTAAGATGATGCCTCTGAAAGTGAAAACAGCCCAACTGGTGCATAAAGTGGAAAAAACTAGAAAAATAACATTCGATCAAACTTAGATGATTTGAGTGAAATCCCTAATCAACTTCTGTGAAAAAAATTTAAAGACTTAAACAACAAGGTGACTAAATATAGACTTAAAAGAAGACATCAAAAAAATTAGGTTACTAGCAGATGAGTTGGCTTTTATTATTTATAAAAATGCACATTTTAGAACAATTATAAAAACCCCCTCAAAACCATATTGTTGTTAAATGTCTACTAAATGAGAAAAGGATGACCAAACACGTCTATCAACATGCCTGATATTCTTTCTTGAAGAACATTCATAAGCTGATTACCACTACATTTTTTTAGTTATTTGCCACAGAAATGAATAGTAACCTGTCACAGTTTGAGTCTGTCTTCGCTGATGAAGGCACCACCTCTGCAGATCCATAATTGCCTTAATTCCTGCACCTGTTCCACTCTGCTTAAATACCCTTCTGTTTCACCTGCTCTCTGCCAGACTGTGTGAAGCAGTGATTGTCTCAGTGGTTCAGTGAACTGGTCCTGTGGTTTTATTTCTCCTAAACCTGTTTTCTTGTCCACGCTTTGTGTCGGGTCCCTCTGTAAGTTGCTTTTAATTCAACTTGATGCCAGTAGCTACACCTGATTTGGGATTTGTTTATGTTTAAGACTTTGCATTTAGACACATGGATTTGCACTAAGATTTTGAATTTTTGCTTAATAATTTGGGATTTTCTCCATCTGCCCCTCTCCAGTTGTCTTCTCTTCAACTGTTTCTCTTAGATGAAGTGTCCCTCCCTCAGTCATGCAGTTAAAAAAATCTGCCTCTTCTGATTTTCTACTGCATCCAATGAGAAAAGGCAACAGATCTGTCCAATGTTTGTTAAAATGCTGTTGCCCCATGTTTATATTTCTGCACTGCAGTTTTGACTCTCAACCTGCAACTTTTAACCCTACAGTAACTGAAACCTGTAACTTTCAATGCATTCGGTTTTACTTATACCATCATTGCCACTTTCAATTTATTCTGTTTCTTCTAGAATACCTACTGCCAGTCCATTGAAAATGGCCAATCATTTGCATACCTTTACATTTTATTATGATAAAGACTGAAACTCTTCATGTCTTTTTTTGATTTAATCTTATCAAAGTAAATGGCTTTTGGATGAAGGTAATCAACAACTAAAATGCATGTGGCATGAATCATAATCTCATGTATTAAAGACACTGAAGCAGCAGTAGGATAACAGCTACATGCTGCTGATAATGACAGAAAGCCCACAGTAACCTTTATTCCTGTTTTTTATGGGGTCACATCTCCAGAACTGAGGATGCACTAATTATTCACATCTGGCTGTGTCT